ACACTCAAACACACCAACACACAAACACACAAACACACAAACACACAAACACACAAACACACAAACACACCACACCACACCACACACACAACACATCACACACACACACACCCCACACATCCCACACACCATAAACACCACACAGACCACAAACACACACACACACACACACACACACACACACACACACACACACACACACACACACACACACACACACACACACACACACACACACACACACACACACACACACACACACACACAACACACACCACACACACACACACACACACACACACACACACACACACACACACACACACACACACACACACACACACACACACACACACACACACACACACACACACACACACTCACACACCCACACACACACACACACACACACACACACACACACACACACACACACACACACACACACACACACACACACACACACACACACACACACACACACACACACACACACACTTATCTCGAGAGGCTTCACTAGCCGAGATGCAAAACGCAGTCAGTAAAAATGCTTGAATGCAAAAGCAAATCAACAGGTCACAACATCGACACCGAACAGGAAGCAACAGCGACAAACAGAAACCGCAAAAAGAATCAGGAAAGAGGGTCAGGAAATAGGCAGGTACGCCGGATTGATCAGATCCGGTATCCACCGAAAAGCCGTAGCTTCATTGGACTGGATAGGCAAATCGGCTCCAGTCCCCCTGCAATGTGGAATTTCCGTCCGTGCTCCAGGACGCTTCACACACACGGAGCCCCAACTGGGGCGACATCACTTGTGCAAGGCCCATTGAGTCTTGCAAGCATCAATTGTGCGAGAAAGTCTTGTGGCGATGACTGACCACGCATACTTGGCTTTGGAAATGGTCTTAAGGGAACGGAGGAGTTCAATCTCTCCCTCAGTCCAAGGCTGCGAGGCTTCAGGTTCGGCCTCAGTAGAGGCATCAGTCCTGGTCGATGTGGTAGCTTCGCTTGGCCCACGAGCAGGTTTTGGATGCCATAGATCGTGAGGAGGCCAAATCACGTGCGCGGCGAGCTCGTTTTTCGCCGGGAGAAGACGGAGGAGGGGTGGGCGGAGCCCAATGACCAGGGAATTGTTCGCCATGATCAGTGGGAAGGTGTTCATCTGGAGCACCAGGAGGTGGCTCAAAGAGGTCCTCGAGGGGGGCCAGGAGGGGTGTTGGTGGTGAGTTGGTCAGGTCCTCAATGGCGGGGTCGAACGTGGCCTCCGGTGCCAAATCAGGTTCGGCAGGCGGACTCTCAGGGAACTCGCGGATGGTGGCGATGCCTTGTTGGGCAATGCCAAGGATGAGTTCGAAGTCTTGGAGCAGCTGGCGTGCTGTGTTGGCACCCATGCTCGTAACGGATTTTGGTCAAACAGTCAAACAGCTGCGGCGTGAAAATCAGGTCAAATCTGTCAGGATGCAAAGGCAGAGAAGAAAACCAGTGTGGTTCCGCAAAGGACGGTTTTTCTTCTCTTTGTAAGGTGAAACCGTGTTGGAGGTGCAACCTCTTCAACATTGCAAGACCCTGACCTCGTTGAAACTCAGGAAAGGAAACTCGGTTGATCAGCGTGCGTCCGGAATAACATCCAGATTCCTTATGCATCAGTGGTGCGGCTGACTTGACAGAGAGCATGTTGTGCTTCTCATGCGAGGGGATGAAGGAGATGGTGCTGCTTGTGAGGTTCAGTCGGAACCCCAAGAAGTCCAGGGCGGCTTCTGTGTCCAGGAAGATGTCTCCTCCATAGAAGTGTTCGTCGCTCAGTATGTTGGCTGCCGGAGTCGAGAGCCACCTGGGGGTTGCGATCACGAGTCTGTTGTCCACGTAGCGGAGTAGGAGAGTATCTTCAACGGAGCGAAGTCCCGATGTGATGTGAGTGTTGGTCCAACATTGTTCGGCGACCGCGATCACCATCAAACAGAGAGCTGGGGACACGGGGGATCCCATCGGTGCCCCACGTGTTTGCCTGAATGAACGAAGGCCGACAGAGAAGATCTGCATGTCGAGGGTGGCCTGAATGATCTCGGGGATGTCGTCGAGCCACAGGGTGCGTTGTGTGGGTTTGTGTCGGCGACGGCGTCCGTTGTAGACGCGGGTGATGGCAGAGGTGTCAAGTGTGTCCACTGTGAGGTGTGTGGTAGAGGAGTGTGGTTGTCGTTGTCGATACCAGGTTAGCAGTAGTCGCCAGGCGAGGAAGGGTGCAAGCATCGGTCTCGAGGGGCCAGGTGGAATGAGGCCCCGGAATTGTAAACTGGATCGAATGGCGGAAAGGCATGCCTGGTGGTGTGGTTCAGGCAGGTGTGTGGCTATGCGATGAAGGACATAGAGAGCGGTGGGTGGGAAGTCTCTGGTCCGTATGTAACGGATGGCATCAAATCGTCGTAGAGTGTTGCTGCCAAGATCGCCCAAAAATCGCCACAAATCCAGGCGGTTGTCCACGCGTTTGGCCAGGAAGGCCTGTTGTAGGGCGATGGGTAGTCGTAGTCGGCGGCGTTTTCGCCAGATGGTGGCGAAGCCCATGTGCCGGGATTGGGAGAAGTCCAATTGGCGTATGAAGCCCGTGCGTGGCCGGAAATGTTTCTCGATGAAGCCAAAATTGAGAGTCGGTTGCAGTTCCTGGATGTAGAACTGTTCAGTGGCAAATAGGTCCGTTGCCGGAACGACAGTGTGAATGGGCACCGAGGTGTAGTGGTGGAAAAAGTCGAAATGTGCCCACCACCGGACTGCCAGTTCGGCATTGACCAGATGATGTCGCTG